TCACCACACCAAGAATGCTTGATCTAGCTGCTAGCTCCACAAGCAAAACAAGTCACATGTATTCACGTTCCAAGCTCAGAGTAACTATGACAGGTTGTCTCATCACAGGTCTTGCCACAGCAACGGCGGAAGAGTACTTTTCATCCTCGCAGATTGTCACCACACCAAGAATGCTTCCTCTAGCTGCTAGCTCCACAAGCAAACAAGTCACCTGCAATCACGTTCCAAGCTCAGAGTAACTATGACAGGTTGTCTCATCACAAGTTTTGCCACAGCAACGGCGGCAGAGTACTTTTTCTTGTCGCAGCATGATTGCGCACAAAGAAAAGTCAAGCGCTCAGAATATGAACCAAACTAGAAGGGGCACTGCATGGGTACTGTAGTACTGCATACAGTACTGGGCGAGAAAAAGGAAGACTACGCAATGATTCAATTTCCAGTGAAAATACAATGTGGTAGATTTGAAAATGTATTCGAGAGTGTCTGCCATGACTGAATGCTGCATATATTTCTGTGCTGTAATGTCGAATCCCAATTAGTCAAAGGGAAGGGAATATATAACAAAACGCATTCGCAACATTGTTCCCGCACCTTGATATTTTAGTGATGGGAATAAGAATAAGTTTCTTCTTGCGCCGGGTGTTTTGTTTTTTTTGGCCTGCTTTGTTTTAATGATTGTGTTGTATATTGTTTTGCTATTCTGTCCCTTTCAGATCCTTCCTTAGCCTCTTCTGAGGTTTTCTTGATTCCTGGAAGACTGACCGGAAAACCTTTTTCAAAACCCCTTATGTATTGAAACTCATTGAAATCATTGCTCCGAGCAAATTTTCAACGCGGTATACAGTGTACAAGCCCAAGGGAAGTGATTTAGTGGGCGGGATTAGTGCGCCAACTTGGAGCCCTGAAAAGAATATTTGAGTTCCGATAGGCTACTGCTACCCTTTTCAGATCCTTGCTCATTATATCGTATTGTATAACCTCGTCTGAGGTTTGCTGCTGCTACTACTCCTCCTCCTACTACTACTCCTATTGCCACTACCACTACCACTACTGCTGCTGCTGCTGCTGCTGCTGCTCCTACTACTACTACTACTACTACTACTACTACTACTACTACTACTAGTACCACTACTACTACTGCCACCACCAGTTTTGGTGGATTGACTCGTGACACTATTCAGTCTCCCTCGATTGTTTGCTAGGGGGGGTGGAGGGGCTTTGCAGGGCTTGGGCGGATCGATACAAACAAACACCTTTGTCTTTGTGCTTCTCAGTTGTTCAATGCGTCCACATGGACTGCAACAATGTCATCAACGAGAACGAGACGCGTTTCTTGCAGGGACAATAATTATGACAGAATCTCATGCCAAAAGTCTGCTCATCCAAACATGGACTTTCACTGCCTGCTCCCACCCCCTTCGCCAGTGTTGGCTATTGGGACACGGGCCAACTGGGCATGCTATTGGCAGATGCACGCGCCTCAGCACTCATAACGCGATTTCTCAACCTGCACAAGCTAGGAGAAAGTAGCTACTAGGAACAAGTGCATCGCTACTAGTAACAAGTGCCTTACTAGTAGTAACAAGAAGCTAGTAGTTTTGGACTTAAGTTTCCACCCGCGGCCACGGACAAGGCCCACGGTCTTCCAACGTTGGAGCCTCCAAGCCAATGGAACCTACGTCTCCCGTGAAGCCCATCCAAACACGGGGACTCCCAAGCTCCAAGGATTTATTTTGAAGAGATTCATGGAGAAAGAGATGGTGTTAGGGAACTCCCTTAGTACTAGGGTGGCCATCGCTACTAGGTTGGAGGCCATCGCTCTTAGGGTACTCCCCTTGGTAAAGCGTGGATCACTTCAGATTCTTCATGATCACCTGCCACCTCCAGCCTTCCGGCTGGAGTGGGAGTTTCTAGATGGATCAAACCCCCAGCTGGGCCCTAGCCAAAACCAATGCCAAAGTAAAAGGGGTCGATTTGGTGACATATACATCCATATACATCCATGTACCTATTGGGTTGTTCACTGCAGGTATTGTCCCCTCTATCAATAAAACGGCCACCCATGAACGCCTCGAGCCGAGCACGAGCGCCACCCGAGAACCCGGGCGGTGTGGACCAAGGCCCTGAGGCAAGAGGCGCCTCGGGCCTCGGAAACGAGCTCGATTTGCACCAGAAGAACCGGTTGAGATGGCCTATGTCCTGAACCAAAAATGTGTGTGGTTGAGTTTCAACCAGATGTCTTTGGGACAATGAGTGTCTCTTGATTAAAGAACAATGATGAGTTCATATTGGATCTCATGTTGGGTATTTGATGATGGTATTTGAACTGTTTTCATGGTGGGTCAAGGATCAGTAGCCCATCGGCTGTCCAAGGTGGATCCACAATCAGATCGAGCCGCGTGTCAGTGGATTTTGCTCCTTCGATCTGGGAAAACACGTGACTTCTACCACGGAAAGCCTTCTACAACGACCAATAAAGGTTACCTATGCTATCAGGACTGCTATCAGGTTGGAGGCCATCGCTAGTGGGTTGGAGGCCATCGCCATCGCTGATTAGATTCCTTACGCTCCCTCACTTACAGTAATTATCGATAATATTATAGTAGGCAGGGGGGAGCGGGCTTTTGAAAAAAGTCCATCCGAATGATCCGCTGAGCGGAGCCCGTTTGAAGCGGAACGAAAGCTGTGAAAGCTGTCGGGAAACAACGTTCATATCATGTGACCAAACATGGATGGTTGGGGGATGTTGGGGGAGTGTATCCCTCCTTTCCGTGGGACTCCGTGGGAAAGCCACCGGAATTTCCATCCACCTGCAAACAGCTACGTTAACTCACTGAAGTGGAATGACCCATTGCTCTAAGTTCTTCTTTTTTTGCAGGTAATTGATAGTAGTTGTCGTTGTGTTTCGACGATGTGCGCGAAACCGTCGCGTCAACTCGAGACGATTCTGCAAAGATGCCATCGAGACGCGACGGTTTCGCGCATCGAACGAAGAAAGACTCAGACGGCCACAAGCATCTGTCCATCACTATGGGCATCGTGGAAGACCTGACAATGTCCGAGACTCCGAGACTTGGTGCCGATGGGACAGCAAAGCATATGGAAGGGTGTGGTCACTTTGGAAGATGCGGGTGAAAAGCGAAGTCTTTCGGATCAAATGATGGGGTGTTCTTTCCCTTTTTGTTTCGTGTATGGCGCTCCGCTCTACAGAAGTTGCTTTCCCTTGGGGCCTTACCCACCATGTGTTTGTTCCATGATGTGCCATTCTTCTTTCTTTTGTGGAGCTTCTTCAAATGCTTCTTGAGAGGTTTCTGGAGCCTGACCAACACACAATCCACCAATTCTTGAACCCCGTGCCGCTGGCAACCGCGGCTCTGGGCGACCAATGCGTTTTGCGAAGCTCGAAGCACCGTCGAAAGTATCCGAAAGTGCCCAAACATCCTCACTTCCATGACCAACCTCCGTTTGAGGGCAAGCAAGAGTTCCGAGAATAAGTCTTTAGCAAATCTCTCAAAACAAAACCTTGTAACTTCGCAAAAACATGCAAAAACGTTGGGTAACCCTTGAGGAGGTGACGTCTGCTGTTGCTCTCAGGTCGCTGTCACCCGTGCATGATGAATCTTCTCCGATCCCAGACTAGCTTAGCTGCTTAGCTATGTCTCCTTCGTTCAGAAAACACACGACCTCTGCTTGGCCTCATTTAGACAAATGGTTCAGCTAGCAGCTAGGCCGACCCTAAACTTTCTTCAGAATTTTGCAGTGCTTGTGTGCTGTGTGTGTGTGTCTTCTTCTGGGGAAGAAAAGGCACCTCCGAGGCGAAGAAGAAGAGGCTCTCGGCCGCCCGGTCGGCCTGTAGTAGCAGGCGGAAGAAAAAGGGAGGAACCTCCGGGCGTTGTCACCGTAATCCAAAGTAACCTTGGTTCGATCGGCTTGAAAGGGAGCCCATCTTGAAAGGGAGGCCATTCACATATCCATTGATACGTGGCTGAAAGGTCATATTAGATCCATCCATTGGAAGTGACTTCCTTCTTGCTCCTTCTCGGAATCGCATGAAGATTCCGAGAGTCCTCTGCAGTCCTTGGGCAACTGCCCCCCACCTCAGGCCGCGCCAACTGCAGGGCCAGGCGGAGGAGTTGCTCCAAACCGTCTGCCGCAAAGGTCGCCTGTCCAGGTGGTTTGGTGGCCTGTCCCCTATGGTTTGTCGCATGGTGACATGGAGGTTTGCATTTCTTGAGATACCAAGTGTTAGAAATAGGTGCCTATAAGAATAGTGTTGGCTCTTGAACCTGTGGGGTGTTGAAGGTTGTCATAGGTTGTCGTTCGTGTTCGATCCATCCAGGGGAGGGTGAACAAGTGACCTGCATCTGGTGAAGTAACGGTGGAATCCGCTGGAAGGTTCCATCAATGGAGTCGTGGAATCCGCTGGTGGACTTACTCTTCATGAATCCAGAATCTCTGCTCAACATGTGCTGTCTATGCAGGGTGCCAGGAGGTGCAAGGCATTCGCAGGTTTCCAACAGGAAAGTCAATGATGTTAATGGGGGCTTGCTGATGGTGGATCTAGCAGCTATCATCCAGCCATGTCCAACCTCCTTCTTCTGCCGCTGGGTTAAGACTCACAGTCCGACCAAAATGGACTGAGCTGCGCACCCCTCCCTCACTGGCCAAGGTGAACTCCTCCGCTTGAAGAGACGCGAGACAGCAAGACGGGGGACATGGACATTTTGGTCGAATCAACATGGAGTGTGGCTGGTGGCAGTTGAAGACAGCAGTTGAGAAGAACAGCCATGTCTAGGCTCCCAGCCAGCACGTCGCGGAAGGATTGGCCCAAGCGTTGCAAAAGTGCCGAGGCTTGGCCAGACAAGCTGCTGCACCTCGATCGACTCGCGGATTTTGCCGGATAAAGTCGGGGGTTCAAAAGCGTGGCTCCAATGCCAAGCCCTGGTGAACATCAGATGTTAATCCACCAACATGATTGGTCCAGAATGTGTGGAATGCAAAATCGGTTTGATCCATCAACATGTAAGAAATTCACCCCTCCAAAGCAACTTGGCCTGTGACGGCTCCTTTTTCTGCATCGGTTCTGAAACAATGAAGTCATGATTGGTACTCTGTGGCCTTTTTCAGACCAGGTACCTAAATGGCCGTCTAAATAAACCATTTGCACCACCTGGTACTATTTTCCAACCAGGTGGACGGCTAACATGGTTCGCACGCGGCGCGCTTGGCAAACTGCCAACCCACAAAAAGCTCAGCAAACAAGCTTCAGGTCGATTGGCAGCTGAAGACCAAGCTTGAAACAATGGCTACACGAATCGTTGCCAAGATCTCCACAGCAAGACACTATTTGTGCCAACTTGGAGTATAGTATATACAGGTTGGAATATGGACACTAAAGTTGCCAAATGCAACCGATCCAAATGGAAGAGGAGATCGATCTTTTCGATCGATTTCTGAACCGACCTCTGGTGACAAGGTCGTATCGTGGACCCATTAGACTCGAATGAAGCATGCAATCCGTTGAGACGTTTGCCAATTCGGTGGATGTGTTCGGAGTTCCTGCATTCCAATCCAATTGGATCCTCGGATCAGCTGAGATCTACCCAAAAAAGCGCTAAGTCGCGCTAACTGATAGTGCAGCAGCCTGCCTGAGAGGAGTATTGCATCAAGAAAGGATGCTTCAAGGCCTCTTCTGCGCTGCCTCGTTCAGGTTCCAAGGAGATCATGTACTTCGCAAAATCCAGCGCAGGCTTCCCCAACCTTAAGGACGCTACAGATCACATAGAAGCAGGCAAGTAGTAGTTAGAGTCTACATACACTGTTCCTCCAGAGCTCAAGTAAGTGGCAGTCCATATAGCATAAAACAAGCTTCACAATGTCACTACCAGGCGTCGCAAAGGAGTTGAATGGATTATGGGAAAGGCAAACATCCCATCCCTATGCTTCAAAGTCACTCTGCATCTTTCCAGGTCTTCTCACTCAAAAGTTCCTCCGCTACCAGCTTGTCCTCTTCGTCTTCAAGACTTTCTGGCCGCCAGTAGCGTTTTCCCGTCGCCAAAGCGATGAAGAGAATTCCCATACCTCGCAACAAGACCGACCGAGGTAAAAATCTGAACATGAACTTCGAAGCACCAACCGGCCCAAAACAAGCCCCAGTTGCTGTAGATGTCACACTTCTCGGTGTACTTCATGTCTTCCACTTCTGGTGCTTTGAAGGGAGTGGTACCCACATGCTCCGCCATGTACTCGTTGGGGTCAAAGGTCGTCGCCAGGTTGAAATCCGCCAACTTCCACTGTGTCCCTGCAGATTTCATGTGCACTACATGAATGCAAAACTCAGTGGGTCACTAGTGAACGGCCTTATCGTTTTATATAACAAGGGTGAAAAGGCGTCCGAACCCAGGAGAGGAGTCAAATGAGGCAAGAAAACCAGTTTAAAGTACAAAGTGTCTTTGTTCAGCCAACGGACTCGAAGTCAAGAGCACATTCTCCTTGGATGTGCACAGGAGGATTAGCTGAAAAAGAATCACCACCAAAAAAACATAGACATAATTCCCCTTCCAAGAGGAAGTAGCGTCTAAAGTGTGTAAAAATGCAATAATTTATTGATAATGTCACTCTGGGTCTTCCAGATTCACAGCAAATAAACTCACTGTCTTCTTGACAGCGAGAAAAAGGGATCGGTGAACAAAGCGTGCTTCTTCCCAAGTCTCTGGCTTGATGTCGCGATGTGCCACACAGTTCTCATGAAGGAAGCTCACCGTTGCCAAGAGCTGTTGCGTGATGTCAGCAATCGTCTCAAGGACCGGGGGGACGTACCTCACTGAGACTATGGTTTTGCCACACAAAGAACCAGCTGGATCTAGCTGGTAGGTTGGAGGCCATCGCTCTTAGGTTCGGTTGGAGGCCATCGCTAGTAGTTTTCCATAGTTTTCCCATCGGTGACACTTTCATCATCTCACTGGAGTTGGGCGGATGAAAAATGGAGAGGATACTAGCAACAAAAACAAAGCTGCTTATTATGACCCTCCAAAAGCACAAAATGTACTGGCCAAGTTGGTGTGCATCTTCTTCCCTGTCATTGGTGCAGGTTCCACTTTTGATTCAATGAACTGCTGCATGTCTCCTCGGGAACACAGCTCCAAGATGAGATCCAAAGCTCCCCCTTGGGAGAAAACCTGATAGATGCCCACCACGCCATGATGTTTCAACTGTTTCAGCACTTGCACCTCAGCCTCACAGTGTGGATCGTTCTCGAACTTGACCCGCTTCCATGCAAATCGTTTCCTGAAACTGCTGAGAAGCATCGGGTTTTGTTGAGCACCCGGAAGATATGGAAGGAACTCGGCGGGAATCCGAGTGGAGAAAACTGAGACATAAACATGTTGTCGATACCCGCTGCGAATCTTATCGAATCTTGACTGCCCTCCTGAAGCATGCATTAAATCTTGAGAAAGGGAAGTCCCCATGAACCTGCAGGTGAAGATTTTGCCAGGTAGCAAAAAGAGTGCACTCATGGAAATAGCCTGAAAGAAAACGGTGTTGAATAGATTCTAGATGGGCTCCAGCCGGGTGGAAACGTTCCAACATGTCAAACGATCGAATAGTGCAGAATGTGCACAAATGTTCGAAGCACCGCCAGGCTTCTTTGTCTCCTTGTGCTTCACCTCATTGACCTCCCCGAACTTCCCTGCACCCAAGACCTTTAACACGGTGTACTCATCGAGCACAGCTTGAGATCCGAACGGTGGCGCAGGCGAAGGCATTGCTGCGGTGAGGTGCTGCGTTGTAGGTCTTTCGACCCCAATAGGCAGCAGTCCAGAAAGATAAGACAGTAAGGGAGACAGCTATGTAAGTGTCAATGTGTTGTAATACACTGCAAGTTGTGTGTGTGCTGAGTGGATTCCACAAGTGCTTGTGACATGGAGCCTCACCAACTGCAGGAGATCGATGCCAATCTGCTGGTCAAAAGCTCTCATCGCTGGCCACTTGTTGCTGTCTAACTATGTCTAACTGATATATGGATCCATTATGGATCCATTGCATCTACCTCAATCTGTTTAAAGGTTCACCTTCCCCTCCCTTTGCGAACCATTCACTGTGCCTCCGTTACCGCAGCAGGCTGCTGTGGATCACAAGCAATTTCACAAGCACAAACACAAAGCTAGGCAGGCTGCTGTGTGCTCAAGGAGTTGTCCCGCCAGCCCTTGCGTGAAAGACACTGAAAGTCCTCGCAACGACGAAAGTCAAGGGTCTCCACAGTCGGTTCCAAGAGGGCAAGAGAAACCAAATCAGGCTGGGATACAGGAGAATGTCGACCTTGGGAAAAATCAAGCGACTGGTGGTTTTAGAGCTAGGCTAGGAGATATCTCTTGAACCCGACGAGTAACAGCCACAGGATCGTTTGCTGGAGTCACATCGGCCTGGAACCTGCAGGAATGCCTTTGCTGGTCACACAAATTCCTTGGCCTTTGGTGATCTTTGGTGTGTGTGCCCTTGCCATGACGGGTTTTGGATGCTTTTGCGCCTTTCACCCTGGAACCATTGGTGGTTGGCAGAAGGTGGCACAGATCACCCCAAACTGATGCAAAATCACCTTTTGGTGCCATGTCGGGCCACTGGAAGACTTTTTCAACTGCTGGCACGCAGCAAAAGTGATGTATTACGTAGCACCACCGGGTCCACGTGATGAACGTGACGAAATGCGAAACTTCCAGTCATCCGCTCCTCCCAACGTGTCCGGGACACGCCCTCGATGAAGCTTCCGGAACCTCTGTGTGGGCCGAGAAAGCAGTGGATGTGAACAGACGAGAACATGTTTACATCAATCTAGACATCCAGTAAATCCAGTAATGTTATGGTCTATACAATGATCTACAACACCATGAAAGTAGAACACACTTCCAAGAGCTTCCCATCAATCCCGGCTTCCCGAGCCCTTCTAATTTCGCTCCAATCCTCCCTTTGGCGGGGCACTGGGTGTCTTGATCTCATCCTGGCGGATGCTCTCGAAGACTTGGGCCTGGACCTTGGAGAGTCTCCGTCACACCACAGTTCAGCGCGACCGTCACGACGGATGGCGAACAAACGGAGCTGGACAGGATGTCAAGCGACAAACGGAAAGTTAAAGAAGGCAACATAAATTGATTCGCCGACAAAACCCCGACCCGATTTTGTGATGTTTTTCCCCACCTGCCAGGTGAGGGTTGTTAGACTGTATCACAGCTGTTCTTCCTCCGCCTCCGCCTCCGCCTCCGCCTCCGCCTCCGCCTCCGCCGCCTCCTCGTCCTCCTCCTTCCTCCTTCCTCCTTGCTTCCTTCCTCGCCAATCTGCTTCGCCGATCTTGTCTGGCCAGCTCCGGATCGCAGTGTGCACCCCTGGACCTCAACCGCAAGGATCCCCTCGCAGTGTGCACCCCTGGACCTCAACCGCAAGGATCCGATCGCAGTGTGCATCCCTGGACCTCAACCGCAAGGATCCGATCGCAGTGTGCACGCCTGGACCTCAACCGCAAGGATCCGATCGCAGTGTGCACCGCTGGACCTCAACCGCAAGGATCCGATCGCAGTGTGCACCGCTGGACCTCAACCGCAAGGATCCGATCGCAGTGTGCACCGCTGGACCTCAACCAGATAGTTTGCCAGATAAAATCCACAAACAAACAGTCACAAACACACGACCACAAACGCGCAACCACAAACACACAACCACCAACACAATCACAAACCCACAATCACAAACACACAACTACAAACACAACTACAAAGACACAATCACAAACACATAACCACAAACACAAAACCACAAACACACAACCACACAACCACAAACACACAATCACAAACACAATCACAAACACAATCACAAACACAATCACAAATACAATCACAAACACGCAACTACAAACACAATCACAAACACACAACTACAAACACAACTACAAAGACACAATCACAAACACACAACCACAAACATACACACAACACACAAACACACACACACACAAACACACAACCACAAACACACAACCACAAACACACAACCACAAACACACAACCACAAACACACAAACACACAACCACAAACACACAACCACAAACACAACCACAAACACATCCACAAACACAGCCACAAACACACAACCGCAAACACAACTACAAACACACAATCACAAAGACACAACCACAACCACAACTACAAACACATAATCAGAAAGACACAACCACAACCACAACTACAAACACATAATCACAACCACTACCACTACCACAAACACAACCACAAACACATCCACAAACACACAACCGCAAACACAACTACAAACACACAATCACAAAGACACAACCACAACCACAACTACAAACACACAATCACAAAGACACAACCGCAACCACAACCACAATTACAAACACACAATCACAACCACTACCACAACCACAAACACACAACCACAAACACACAACCACAAACACAACCACAAACACACAACCACAAACACACAACCACAAACACAACCACAACCACAACACAGCACACAACCACAGCACACAACCCGAGGACCCACAAGCAACATCGAGAACTACAATCAATACTAACGACTATGGCAACATGCTCCTCACTATGGCATCAAGACAAATGATTGAAATGTCATGGTGGGGATCACTCGAAGTAAAGTAATGATGTCTTTTGCATATGTTTGCATTATGACTTTGGCCTTCCAATTCATGGTTAACTAACGGATGTTTAGCCACCTCCATCCACCCTGCAAACTGAGCGAATCAGGAACGGCGACGCCCGGCAACAAGAAGTCTCCGCAGTCTCATCGTCGGTTCAATATTGAATGGTTCATGTTCGAATGAAAGTGCTGAGCTCATGCAACAATGAGCAAGTCCCACTGGCGACCAGGTGATGTCTCTTCAAAAGGCTGAGTTGTTTCGCCCGATTTCCTCTAAAAAACAAGCAGTTCAGTATCATTCAATGAACCAACAGCATCTTCTGCTCAGTTCCCCAGCTTCCTTGGGAATGTCCTCCCCTTCATTGATGCCCCTGTTGTTGCTGATGAAGTCCTGCGTGGTTGATTGCTGGTGATGTTTCAAGCATGGTGAAAGGATTCCGTTGACCAATTATGGTCAGTGGCCTCTAGTGGTCCATGTGATGTGCCCCTCCCAATTCATGGTAACACCCAACCCAATTTAACTGGTAGCATTGGCAATAGCTACTAGGAGCAAAGGGCATCGCTACTAGGAGCATGGACGCTACGATCGGGGCTCCTGGCCGTACTACTAGGAACAAGGACGCTACGAACGGAGCGATGGTAGACTGGTAGACTGTACACCTTCGAGGCCTCCACGAGGTTCCGATGTAAAGAGACTAGACGTGCAGCCCAAGGCTGAGTCTGGCAGTCTGAGAGTGCAGTTGTGTAGCAATTGTCTGCATTCGTCTATGATTGTTCTGTTGCAAAGGAACCCCGGACCAAGACGATCACGAATCATGTTGGATCCATTGAAGCGAATACAGATCCAATGAAAACCGGATAGCTTCAATTGAAGTGCAACACAAGTCCATACAAATCCTACCGCAAAAATGATGATGCTGAATGGGGATACCGCAAAAAAGACTACCACTGGGTATAGCATGGTGAAACAACTCTTCATTCCTTCTACCAAAATATTTCAGGGGCCTCCTGGCGGCCTCAGTCGTCACACATTCCAGATAATTAGATGCGGAGCCCTGGCAGAAGCCTAATAGAAATCCGGTTCCTCATCTCCCCACCCGCGAAAATGACGCATCAAACTCCCAAATGGATGGACATTGCGTACAATGACTGAAAACTGCAAGCCAGACTGGTGCGCGCTCTCGGTCGACTTTGCTTCGTGGATGTTCCGAGAAGAACATGTCCAAATAGAGGCTGCGACGGCGATGCCGCTTCTTTCTCCAGCTGTCTTCCGGTTCGTCGGAAACTGGTCTCGGCCCTCAGGCGTCCACGAGCTGAATTCTCTCCTGCAGCAGTGTCCTGAGATGTGAAGCTGCTCAGCGTGACGCTCTATACGTTTGTACATACGCTCTATACGTTTCCCTGGCTGCCAGGGAAACAACACATGGTATCTATGAAGTACGCACATGCATTCGCATGCATGTTTGATTTTTTAGTGAATTTATTATAGTGCTCTCAAGATGTGTTTTGACCCCTCAACCGAAGGTAACAACGAACTGGCTGAAGAATGGCCACAACAAGCCCCTTGGCAGAGGAACATAACATAACATTCTAGATTCTAGAGGATCTTCGAGTAGCCATGCTGGCCTAGAATTTGGAAGTTGGAGGTTGAAGGGACACGTCCACTGCCAAAGCGAATCAAAGAGACTTGTCCAGTAAGGGATATCAGTTTTCATGCACTCTATGGAGATGTGATCCTCTCTTCATCCTGCCTGCGGTGTTCACCAGATCGCTCTGCTGTGCGTCTCTCTCCCTCTCTGAAGCATCCCAAGTGTCACATCTTCTCTGAAGAGCAAGACATGCACCTCTGCAGCCATCATTCGGCGTTTTGGCCTGCCACATAGAAACGAGTTCCCCAAGTCCCTTCCAGAGAGGGGGAAGCAGTTTCATCACTTGCCAAATCATGCCAAATCCACTCTAATATTCCTGTTGATTCTGTAATCTCTCTTGCAGAGTGTGACTAACACCTTCACCCTGCCTTTGTGGCAAACCACCCAGCACGCAGGAACTGCTCTCAGGTGCCGGGCGGGCCCATTGGCCAGTCGTTTTGGGCACATCGGCCAGGAGCGTCCCAAGGGCTTCACGGGTGAAGAGCCCAAAGTCCAGCAGGTTCGTCTGCGACGGAGAAAGGCGCTGCTTGGCGCTGCTTTGGAGAAGCAAATCTGGAGAGGGAGGTCAAGATGGTCAAGTCTGAGAGAGAATCTTTGTCCAAACTCTCACTGAAACGGTGTTTCTCTATGTTGATATTTGCCGTTTGATCTGGATCAAAAGAAGACTGACCAAAACGGTGCAATCCCCTCTTAGAATTACCATCGCTCACAAAATGTATGACAAACAAACAAGCCTCCAAGCTGGAACCCTTCTCATCGTCTCGGATGAGGTGTTGGTGAAAAAATGTATTTCCCGCCAAAGAAGAAAGCTTTGGTGAAACTTCAGAATTCTTCACATCCAAGCCCCACCGGCCCCACCTCCACATGCTGGCCACCAGTCGGCCTGATGACATTTGAAATTTCCAGAGAATGTCGCTGGATGGCCCTGAGCCCGACATCCCCTAAGCCAGGCACTCCGGTGATTCAGGCAAATAGCTAGCCATGGTGGTTCTCAAGGACAGCCAAAAGCTAGAAAGCATACAAATGTTATCCGATGCTTTCTGTAGCAAATTGGACTTGCTGGGTTTGATTCAGTGGCACTGAATAGCCTGGTGTAGAATCTTTTGTTGAGTTCCGTTAGTCTGTAACATGTTTGTCGCTCTGCCTGCTCAAGGATATGAAAGTCACCGTTGGAAGCCTCTGAATGCATTTGCTTCGCCCAAAGAAAACGATCTCACAAAGGAACAAGCTCTGGAGCTCCAAGAGATACCGTACAGTGGGTTTGCTGTGACATGTTGTGACTGTGACAGATTCATATAACTCGTGGGTCCTCATTGTTGGATTGGGATTGATCTACCTGTCCACCTGTAGCTCACAACAAAATCACCACCTGCCACAACCAAGTCTCCTTACTCACCACCGGCCGAACAGTGCGAAGCCCCTGCGTACCTCCCGAGCCGCCGGATGGCCGGAGCCAAGGCGTGGCGCTTGAAGGCCTCAGGCGCAAGTCATCAACCATTCTAGTGTTTGGATGTCCTCATTTCTCTTGTCTTTGTTTCTAATAGCAATGGCCTCCAACCCAAAAGCAAAGGCCTCCAACCTACTAGCATCACCTTTCCCATCATCCCTTTCATAGTCAGAAACTGGATGGCTCAAAGAGCCATTAAGACTCGGGCAACATCTCTCTGCATGTTTGACCATGTTTGATGTTTAAGGTGTCAGCACCCGTAGTAGGTAAGACTGAAATACAGCAGAAACTTCGTCAACATCCATCTCCAGGAGTTTCTCTGCAGCCAAGGAGCAGCAGCCTTGGGATCGTAGCCCCTGGTTAGAGTCAATTCATCGGACGAACACGATCAACACAAGCCACTAATTCCTAGTGGTGTCCAGCCAGTGAACAAACCAAAGTGAGAAGCATGGGTCTGCAAATCCATGATTGTGGGGCGTACCGCAAAAGAATGCCTGTCTTGGTCCTCCAGAAACCCTGCCCCCTCCTTTGACCTTCGGCACCTATTGTCCAGAATCAACCCATTATGAAGCAATGCAATATAATGCAATCGTCCAAGTTGTGACCACACGTCAAAACACAACATGCATTCTAATATTCTTACTTGGGCTACCAAGCGCCTTAAACTAACTGGTCATGGTCAGCATTCGACCTGAACGCAGCTTCAAAGCAAAACATGACATGTGAAGAACATGTGCAGCACTGCCACCACAAAAGGAGGAGTCCACATTTGCATCAAGGCCAGGCTTTTCGATGGTGAAAAGGAATGACAAACAGAATCCTTGGATCCTTGGATTGTTGGTTTCAAGGCCATCGGAGGGCCGCAGCGCTGCGCCTGTTTTGAAGCTCCTGGATCCGCATCAGCTCAGCGCCCCACTGGCGCTCTGCGGGGCGCTTGTGGGGCGGCCTGAGCCAGAGGGCCGACCAAACAAACAACCACAGCTGGGACGCACACGACCTACTCGGGCTGAATTCCAACACCTGTAACATCCGGAGTGGAGTGCACTGCTTTTGCACACCATTTGCACAAAACCTTTGTGGAGCAAGTTTTTTTCAGAAGGCACTGTGTCGTCCTGTCTAACTTCGCTAAGGACGGACAGCGACAGCCTTAAATCTGATGTATAAAACTTTCAAAAAAAAAATATATATATATATTTATACAATTATATACATAGTAAAAACAATCCAACCTCCCAAGAGATCCCTTCACCCTTCCTTCACCCTTCCTTTCGGCCCTTCGATCTGAAAAATAGTAAAAAAGAATACCATGTGCCTTGATGACAAGCGCGTGGCTGCGAGGAGTTGATGCGCGGGCAGTGCCGGAGCACCTTCACGTGGCGAAGATCTGAAGTTAGAAACACTCCATCCACATGCAACTTGGAGAGTCAAGAGTCGAGAAAATCTAGATACGAAAGAAACCTCTGGAAACCATGTACGAATAGCCCTTCGCAGAAACTTCACTATCCTTTGATTGCTAGCAGCACCCTCCAACAGGGTCGCCACCTGCCATTTGAACGTCTCCGAAAGCCACCATTTCAGAGACCGGTAGAGTCGGGTGCTAGCAGTCAGTGCAGTCTTTTTGAAGACATACCGGACAGCAGCGATGACAAGGGACTCTGACAATGCTTGATGCCTCCCAGCTGGTGGACTTCTTCCTTCGGAACCGTGGACTTAGTTCCCCTCCCCGAACGTTCAAGACATGGGTGAGGTTGGAGTTCTGGTCGCAGCGTGCGGGCTAGGGGTTCGCTTCACTAACTGACTCAAGTGAATGTGCTAAATCCTGAGAAAATCATCCTGCAAATGTCGAAACAAAGAAAGCAATGATCCCGGATGATGCTGGAATGCTCAACGAACTGCAGAATCAGGCCTCGTCTGCCAGCAAAGGCAAGTGTAGACCATGTGAACCGTGGTTTCGGATGTTGACCTTTGATCTCCTTTGAGAAGCAAACCCGCGGTTGATGACCCAAACCTTTTCATCCAAAGTCCATCATCCCTCAGCGAAATTCTAGCCGCGGCAGCATCCACGGCAGGCGCTTTTTCCACCACGTCAGCTGGACCTTCTGAACAACCAGATCACGGCCTTCACGTCACGCCTCACGGACCCTGCTGGGTCGGATCCGTCGCGGTCCGGCCGAAGCAGCTGCGGGCCGCCAGGGTGAAGCCGTGTTGGAGCGAGGCGAGGCGGAAGGTGATCTTCTCCATGAGCGTTCCCCTGCAAAGGTGGTTAGTTCGTCAAACCAATTCCCAGCCAGCTTTGATCGACAAATAGTGTATATATCACTATAAATAGCAAACAGAAGTGATTCGAAAGAAAGGAATCCTGTGTGTTGAAAAGCCCGACTATCACAAAAGTCAACCCTGGCCTGCCATCCTTCAGGAGCAACCGACCAACGTCCAGGTGTCCAGAAGCCAATGCCTCATGCAAAGGTGTCCAGCCAAATTGATGTCTCTGATGTCTATCAGCTCCAAAGTCTAACAAAAGGCGCACTACTTCCAGGAAACCATTCTGAGAAGCCAAATGTAAAGCTGTGGCCCCACCATCACTTGAAGCAGCATCGATGTCAGCTCCAGCCTCGAGCAACAACCGGACAACTTCCAGGTGGCCACATGCAGCTGCTCCGTGCAAAGCTGTTTGCCCACAGTCTCTAGCCTTGTTCTTGTCAGCCCCAACATCCAGCAACATTTGTGAAATTTCAAGGTAGCCATGCTGAGCAGCCACATGCAAAGCAGTCGCTCTTTCGTTGGTGCCCTTGTCGACTTCAGCTCTAGCTTGAAGCAATATCCGGACAACTTCTAGATGCCCATTCCAAACTGCCAAATGCAATGCATCTGCCCCATCATTCTTGGCCCAACCTACGGCAGCCCCAGCCTTGAGCAACAGCTCCACAACTTCCAAACGCCCTTCAAACGCTGCCCAATGCAAAGCTGTTCTGCCATAGACGTCCTTTTGTTCTATTTCAGCCCCAGCTTCCAGCAGCAAGGTTAGGCACTGCACATTGCCTGCCCGCGCTGCAGCACGTAGTGCTGTCCAGTCCACTTTGTCTGCATCTGGAGAAAGAGGCAACTGCAGTAGTTCTTCCACCCTCTCTACGCGGTTTTCTTGAGACGCAGAAATGAGTTCCAAACTCCGACCATCTTGATAGAGATCACAGAAATCCAAAGTCACCAGGTACACCTCCTGACAAGAAGACCACTCCAACTGGGTCTCATCTTTCAACTCAACTTCTTCAAGAAACCATCTTTGTCGGAATCGCGGCACGCCGATCTTCTCAGCCAAACGCCTTTTGAGCATTCGCACCGGCTCGCAGCCCCCGATCTCATCTGCGTCCAGGGTGGCGAGTGTTTCACCCGACACCGCTGAACAAATGCGAAACATGAGATCGAACAAATGTGAAACTCAAAGCACGGAATCAAGGCTCGAAGGTCCTGTGTTTTGTGACTCGGTCTGTCTAAAGAAGTTTACTAAACAAGAAAACCTTGGTCTCCATGTTCTATCAAGCTGAAGCTTATCCGACCAGAATCTCCCAGGTTTAAGTTCTTGCAGAAAGGTCCGAGTGCGTCCCGGCTTTCTAGGAGGGGCCTGTACAACAAAACCCGAAACAAATGCAAGAGTTGAAACTTGAGCAAGCCATGCAGCGTCCTGACATGAGGGGTGGGGCTTGTAACCCTCCTCATTATGGTTACCAGGAGGTGATGAGCCACCTAGGACCCAGCGGTTTAAGATGGTTTTATGTATTGCAAGTTCATCCTATGGCCTTGATGGTCCTTTTATATCATGAAAGCACCTGACTACCACCACTGCTCCCAGTTCCGGTCGTGCAGGCCCTGCCTCCCTCTTCGCAACTGGCCAACACCGCAGAGAGGCCGACTGCATCGGGGCCTGTGGCCGGGGTGGAAGTGATTTGCGCTTTGAAGAAGTAAAATGGCATGAAGTGGCACCAGAATTGACAGCATTCACTGTGAAGAAGGTGTTTTTACATGTTTTTACTCTCAGATCCAGTTGAACAGCGAATGCTTTTTGGAATGGGTGTATGGGAAAGCCTGATGCTCAAAGCCTTGGTGCTAATCCTCATCAGCCGAATTCGCAGCTTGTGCATTTCCCATACTTGATGATGTGTCCCCCATCTGGGATCTCTCAATAGCCATCTTCTCCCTGGCCTCCACCCTAGTGACGATGGCCTCCAACCTAATAGCGATGGCCTCCAACCTAAGAGCGATGGCCTCCACCCTAGTAGCCATCTTCTCCCTTCCTTCCTGTCTTCTCCCGCCTCCTTGAAGCAGCTGGAGCGCAAGAGTCCATTTCATGGCTTGCGAGAAGGTGCTCAGAAGGCTGTTCAGCATCAGCAGATTCAAGTCGACGGATCCTGGACGAACCGGCGAGTCCCGGTGGGCTGAAGATTTGGAGAGTGACAAGCCACGCCGAGGTTTCAAGATCGCTTTTTATATGAGACCATTCAGGTTCATACTTTCGTAGGATTTGCCAAAAAAATGCGAGAATTCTGGCTCATCATCTTGATTACCAACAAAGGCTCCCCCTTGTTACAAACTGGAAAAATCGAAGACGCACTGCAAGCAGCTTGCCTGGAGCAAGAGAAGCGTAAGCTAAGCGTGGGACTTTCATACTCATTGTTCGCGCATGGAGTACAAAAAGGCTAGAACGGGTTCATCTCTCGATTTGACAGGGGTTTACTTGACTCCGCTGTTTTGAGTACCAGCGTTGAGTCTCGTAGAATTTTGGACCACTGAAGATCCCGATCGCCCTGAGGGAAGTCGAACTCCACCGCAGGGCTGCGCACCAAGGGTCGTTCTTGCAGCTGGTTCTGAAGGTGCAACGCTTGCGTCCAGAGCTGTGCCTTCTCGCATGCGGCCAAGGCGACACCAAAGCCACTGGCACCAAGCTGACAGTGCCTGAAGCGGTTTCAAAGGCTAGTGCTGTGAGGGGAGTGCTTGAAGTGTTCTTCCTAAGTTGGATCTTCATGGGTCGTAGGGCTTTCTGAGTATGGTTTCAAGAGAATGTTCAACGTCCTACTGGGCCTGGCTCTGTTTCAAGATGGGTCTTGAGGATTCAACCGTTCAACAGGATGGAGATGTTGAGGTGCATGGCACTGAATGGTTTGATTTGCCTGGCCACACACCTGGTGGCTTTCCCCGATTCAATGGATCTTTCAACATGCACGTCTGTCAGCACAGCTACACACCAACCTACTGTTTCATCAGCATTCTATTAGAGTCTATCAACGAAAACAGCCCTTTGGATTGTGTTTCGTTTAAAATTGAAAAACCCACCGTGTTTGAATCCGTCCACCAACACTGTTGCTGAAAGTGGTACTTCTGAAGCCCTATGCAACACTCCATGCCGGATCAAGCCAAAGTAAAGCATCCCTGCAAATCATTACTCCAAACACCTCTGTTTGTGCTAGGCCTTAAGATGCACCAAAAAGTCAAGATGTTTTACATCCAAGCGTTTCAAAAATAATAGAAAACTGAATGATGCTCCCTGAGATATTACTAAAAGAAAACCTTACAGAATCGAGCCCTGGAGTATCACAATGTCCCCATACAACCAGTCCAAACCTCATGCCCACCAAAACAGCCCAAGATGTTTGGATCTTATGTATCCATATCATGTCACAACTATCCATTCCTATTCTCACACGTTTAGCCCCGATCAAGGCTTCCCGAGTCGCATCGGCAAGGCCAAGGCCAGCTGCCAGCGTGAACTTTGCTCATGCGCGAAGCTTAAGGCTACGTAGGCTAAGGCATCCAAGGCCAAACCACACCTTCAGGGTAGATGAGTCGAGATCTGGGGTGCAACGACTGGCCAAAAAGATGGTTTTCTCGATGATCCGATGGGATCCCAAAAGAAATGGATCTTAGAGCCACAAATGGATCTTCAAAACACTCACTGACACACAACATTATCCTAATCAATCCAATCAGTTTGAGAAAAAAATCCGATGTCAGTCAATTGTGAAGCCTTGCCTTCTGCTCCACTCCACCAGTTCTTTGCTTTTCCGCCACTGCCCTGCACGCCCCAGTGCCCGGAGGCAGGCGGTCAGGGCGACACTGTTGGGGCTGATGCGATGGCTCTGCATGTCCTCAATCGTATGGGATGTTCCAGAAAGCGAAGACGGAAGAGAAGAGGATGGGATATGATGCGGGTGAACTGTAACGATTACGAAGTCCTCGAACCACAAATCAGTGAGTGGCCACCGGACTTTGTTTCTTGCCTTGAGTCCAAGAGGTCCAAGAGCCTGTTGGACCACAGAGCCTGTTATTTGCATATGTCATAGGGGAAGTGTGCAAGATTTCACCAGCTCAACAAACACACCTATATACAAATACAAGTAGTTCCCGGGCAAGCCGGCGGCGGAAGTTTCCTATAAGAAGAAGTTGACCTATAGGAGTGTCCACGTTCTCTCCAACATGCGCGTCCTCCAGTCAAACGCACGCGCTCCGGACTTTTGACCCACGAGAGATGACTCAGCAGCGAGAGATGACTCAGTCGCGAGAGATGACTCAGCCGCGAGAGATGGCTATAGCGAGAGCTGACTCAGCAGCGAGAGATGAATGAGCAGCGAGAGATGACTCCTCCGCGTACTACACTTGTACTACAAAGTGTCCAGTTCTCCGCTTCCAGCTCCACAGGTTGTTCCGCGTGCTACAGTTGTCCTAGACAGTCGCCAGGCAGTTCTCATCTTCCAGCTCCCCAGATGCTCCGCGTACTGCAGTTGTACTACACAGTCGCCAGTTCTCAGCTTCTAGCTGCACAGATTGCTCCGCGTACTAAAGTTGTTCGACAATGTCGCCAGTTCTCCGCTTCCAGCTCTACAGATTGCTC